AAGAATCTAAAATACTATGGGCTATTATAATTTGTAATGTAGTGTTGTTTGTAATGAGTGCTATGAATGACCTATGGCAAACCCCAATGAGCTGCAAAACAATTCATTACCATAACGCTCTTAATTAATTAAACAAATAAATTTCTAGAACAATAGTAGAAGCAAAGCAAAGTTAAACACAGCCTATACAATAGCAAAAGGTCAGTAAATAATAATCTTGAAGTCTACCTAATGTAGATCTCATATCCCTTCAAATAAACATCTTCATTATCACTTCCTTGATCAAGACAGAGTCTCAACTCAATACTTTCACTGGTTGGAGGATTAATAGTCTTACCGAACCATGTGGGTTTACAGCATGACTTTTCACTGGTACCACATCCCCAACCATCCCATAATGGATCATTCTTGTAAATATAGTTTTGTTTTACTGGTGCATCATCACTCCCACCTTCACAGTAATAATCATTACCAACAAATGAAGGCACAGCTCTTGGATTTGCATTCCATTTGGCACATGGACAGTAGTTCCTATGGCCATTGTTTTCTTGGCCAGCTATAAAGGTCCAGATATGCTTCCTGGTTCTACCATAAGTCAGGCTAAATCCATCGACATATTCAGAATTAATGTTGAATGCAGGACCACTGCGAGCTCCATCAGGACTTCCTACCTGATAGCCGACTAGTTTTCCATGGATTTGTGAATACTTGAAGCCCTCAACTTGAAAGTAAGTGCTGGTACAGGACCAAATATTTGTAGTGTAAGGTCGACCACAGGCACGAATATCTTGTTTTTCAATAAGTCTAAACCCAGTGGGACAGTCCTTTGTGTTGTACAGGTCAAGAAAGGCTATTCTAATCCATCCTTTGTTACCATTGTATGGTAAACTAGACATGTGACAATAAACTTTGTCAGAGAACCCAACAATCCTATAGTATCCTGAGGGACTGTCTGGGAACTTTTGTAGTATATCATAGCATGAGGTGAAGAAAGGATCAGAAGAATAATCCAACACTTTCTTGATATCAGCTGAGAGAGAGGATACTGTTGATTTTTCCAGGGAGGAGACATTTGTTGCTAAGGTGCTAGATACATCAAGCACTTTCTTGATATCAGCTGAGAGAGAGGACACTGCTTGTTGCAGTGAAGACACTGCCTCTTGTAGTGAAGATACATCCGAAGATACTGATGCTAGTTTAGAAGAGACTCCTGCAACTTCAGATGATACTGATTCTACTTTAGAAGATACATTTGCCTTTAATGAAGACACCTCAGAAGATACTGTTGCTACTTTTGAAGATACTTCTGCTTGAAGGGAAGATACTTGTAAAGATACAGCTTCTACTTTAGAAGAGACATCTGATTTCAATGAGGACACCTTGGAAGATACTTCTGTTTGTAACAAAGATACTTTTGAAGATACATTTAATATTCTTGTAGACATTTCTGCTACTTCAGAAGATACTTTTTGTTGCAGTGAAGACACATCAGTAGACACTGTCTCTTGTAGTGCAGATACATTTGCCTGCAGTGAAGCTATTGCTGCATCTGATGGCCCATTGCAGGTACTGTTAATCTGTGAACTGAAACTGGCCACTGATTTCTCAATTCTAGAGCAGCAGTTGATAGCATTGAGAGTACCAGTATTCTGAGCAATGGCAGAAGTAGCAATGCAAAGAATGAGAAGAGAAGAACAGTAAAGGGACATAGTCATATCTTCTGGTTGCTCTAGCTACTACTGCCTAGTGCCTACCGGGACTGGGGATATGATCTAATGGTATGATCTTTATAACAGTGAGAGGGGTGGATAGGATAGATGATATACTGATTGGATAAACAACATGTGGCTGACCATCAAAGTGAGAAGAATTATTTTATCATTCTTCACAGAATTATTCTATCATTCTTCACTATGCTAACAGACATTCCCCACTTGAGATAGCTTTGTTCTTCTATTGGATACATTGTCAAATAACATTAAGCTATTGTTGGCTTATACTGGTTATAGTTTGCTTTATAGTTGATGCATAATAAAAGTTTATGTTCTATTTTCCTGTAATCCTGTGGAACTATTAGTCTAGCACCATATATTTATATTTAATACAATAGGCATTTGACCTGCAGTCATTTATCATTCGTGTAAAGCCATCTTACTGTATGGTATACAGTGAATAAGAGAATAACCTGTGAATTTATTTGTGGGTCAAATTTATCACAACCCAGAGTGAATCTGTTATGTTGTTGCAAAAGGTTGCCATTCTGCGGATGTATAATAATTTCAATGGAGAAGTATTATGATAACTTGTTTTGCAAGAGAGTTTGGGCTGTGGTTATTGTGATTATATGTATAGCATATAAGTTAGTCCTGTGCTCTATCTGTGTTAATTGTTAATTAATTGTAGGGGCTATATGGAAACCAGTATTTGAATTAATGTCGCCATAACTATAGACCATAGCAGGTTGTATAAGCCACAATGTACTAAGATATTGAAACTAATTACTAGCCTAGAAAGGTACTAGAGCAAAAAAGTTAAACATAACAGCAAAAATCAACATAAATAATCTTAAAGTCTAACTACATGTACCTAATGTAAATCTGATATCCCCTCAAATAAACATCTTCATTATCACTTCCTTCATCAAGACAGAGTCTCAACTCAATAGAATCACTGGTTGGAGGATTAATAGTCTTACTGAACCATGTGGGTTTACAGCATGCCTTTTCACTGGTACCACATCCCCAACCATCCCATAATGGATCATTTCTATAGAAATAGTGTGGTATTGTAGGTGTATGATGACTCCCTGATTCACAGTAATAATCGTTA